GTTGTTTGGCGGGTCCGGGCTGGGGATTCAAACCCGCCACCTTAGGTGTACGTGGCTGGCGCCTTAGCCGGTTGAGCTATAGGCACCGAGCCAAGACAGAGTCTCACTCTTGCTCAGGGTGGTCTCCAACCCATGAGCTCAGGCAATCCACCTGCCTCTACCTCCCAGAGTGCTAAGAGTACAGGTGTGAGCCACCAACCAAGCTGGCCTCTAGATGCAAATTGACAGTGGAGATTCAATTGGTGCCAAGATACCATTGTAATGCCCTAACTCCATTTTGTTTATAGAGCCAGACTTACTCCATTTTTTTTTTTTTGCAGTTTTTTTGGAGGGGGCTGGGTTTGAACCCGCCACCTCTGGCATATGGGGTTGGCGCCCTACTCCTTTGAGCCACAGGCACCACCCCAGACTTACTCCATTTTGCTAAGGACCGTTGCTAAGAGCTTCCAACAACAGGAAGCTCAGCTGAAAGCTGCAGAGTTTAGCAAAAACTGTAAAAACCTGTGAAACCACAGCTCCTCCTTGTAAGCACTCCCCTTACCCTATAGATGTAATTTTGCAGGTATTGGCTCTTGTGAAATTTGGCTTGTGTTAAGGACTCCCCCTCCCTCACAGAAAGCACCTCATAAAAGGTTTCCACCCCTTTTTCTGGGGGTCGAGAGACTTTAAGGCATAAACTTGCTCTCAACTGGCCAATCAACAAAGGGCCTTTGCTTAATTTGGACTCAGTGTGTTGGCGTTTCTCTATTCCACTCGCTATCTATTTTTTTTTTTTTTTAGACAGAGCCTCAAGCTGTCACCCTGGGTAGAGTGCAGTGGCATCATAGCTCACAGCAACCTCCAACTCCTAGGCTCAAGTGATTCTCCTACCTCTGCCTCCCAAATAGGTGGGATTACAGGTGCCTGCTACAACGCCCAGCCATTTTTTGGTTGTAGCCGTCATTGTTGTTTGGCAGGCCAGGGCTGGATTTGAACTCCCCAGCTCAGGTGTATGTGGCTGGCACCTTAGACGCTTGAGCCACAGGTGCCAAGCCCACTTGCTATCTACTATCTATTTATTTGTTTTGAGACGGTCTCACTTGGTTACTTTTGGTAGAGTGCAGTGGTGTCATAGCTGACAGCAACCTCAAACTCTTGGGCTTAAGCAATCCTCTTGCCTCGGTCTCCCAA